TGGAGGAGCGGCACCGCGGTGCCCCCCTGCGTGGTGAGCTCGCTGTGCGGGGGAGACCGGGGGCGGACGGGCTTCCCTGCCCGCGAATTGCCTTAGCGGGGCGGTTTCCCGGCTGGTGTTGAGGGGAGGGTCATTCCCCGAGGCAGAGGTCATCTCTTAAGCCCTCGTGGTTTGTTTGTTTTGTTGTTTGTTTTTTTTTTAATCTTCGCTGCAGCAAATGTAACGCTTAAATGCCAAAACAGAAGGTGGCGGAATTTTCCTGTGGAAAATAAGGCTGTGATTGCATCTCCTTCAGGTGGTACGTTACTTCTGCCCCTGGCTACCCTCCTCTGAGGTTTTTTCCCCCTTGAGGAGGACGCAGACCACGAGGAGAGTGGGGACAGCAGTGTGTAATAGCTGCTTGCTGCCGTGTTGTCCTGTGGTCCACGCGAACGGTGTTTAAAACGTGGGTGTTTGGCTTGTGCGGCTGCTGGTCCTTCTGCCTAGTGCCAGCAGTGCCTTTTCTCCATCCTTCCAGGCCGTGGAGGGAATGGTGGAAAAGCCCCAAAATGTCATACTGAGCAAATCCCTGCAAGGGATGGATATCTTCGCTAGTCAGTTTAGCCTGCATTGCTTTAAATCTGCTGGGTCATTTTTCCCACTTGCATTTCCTCTGTTTTCTGTTCCAGCTGTGCACAGGCTCGGTAACACCTTGGTTTTATGCATGTGGTGCTCTGAAGGCCTTCTTCAGGTCTGTGACAGTTAAGGAAATCACAGAAAATCCCAGATGTGGTGCTGGCATTGTAGGTCTGCCCTCGGCAGCTCTCCTGCTTCCCTGTGGCTTCTGAAGTGCTGGGACTGTGGGCTGAGAACCACCCGTGCCTGTTCGGTTTACTTGATATCTATTAAATAAGCAAGTTTGCTATTTGCTGTCTGTTCAGGATTTTTTTGATGCAACTGCCATGTACGCCCATATTTAACACCCCATTTCTAGATTACTTACCCAGAAAGATTCACATTATTTTTCAAGAGGCATAACAGTAGGCATTTTATTAAGAGGAAACTAGTGACTTAGTATATAATAAAATAGCTGTACTTGTCCACATTTTTTGAAACAGTGTATTGGATCAATAAGAACAACAGAGTTAATGATTAGAAGGGATATGTGTAACTGAAAGGTTTGTCTTCTTCTGTTATGTGTGGTCTTCATTGCAAGTGTGTTGTGTTCGTCTAATGGAGCTTTAACAGAAGTTTGAAGGTCCAGCTTTTGTTCTCAGGTCTGCCGCTACTTTGTTGTGTGACCGTGGACAGAGCACATCACTTCTAGGCTTTTGTTTCCCGACTGCTAAGGGGAGACAGGAGTTCCTGCCTTTATAGCCTGAAAACTCTCTGTGTTGTCTTGTTGCAGACAAGCCGATGGTCGGAAAGTCCTGCGGTCAAGCATACGGGAGTTCCTGTGCAGCGAGGCTATGTTTCACCTAGGAATACCAACAACAAGGGCTGGAACGTGTGTGACATCTGACTCAAAAGTCATCCGTGACATATTTTATGATGGGAATCCAAAAAGTGAAAGGTGTACAGTTGTTCTGAGAATAGCTTCTACATTTATAAGGTACATGCCTATTTTGCTGGGGTTTTTTTGTTCTTTTAAAACCAAGCACAGCAGTCTTTTAAAATACCATTTTAAGTGCGTTTCCCTAACAGCACCATTTGCGTGTTTCTTTTTCTGGAGGCTTGGAACTCTCTTGCCCAGCTGTAGGAAGCTGTTCTTCTTGTCCAGCGGATGGGGTGAGCTGAGACAGATAAACACTTAAGGATGCTAGCCTGGTAGAAAGAAGAACTAAGTTCTGCAGACCTCAGAAGAGATTTTTCACGTTTATGCCTGCACAGAATACATGCTTTTTTTTGATGTTGGTAGTAGTGGTGGATTATAGCTCTGCCCTTAATTCCAAAGCTATTCCAATGTAGTACTGTCAAAGTTTGGGTGTACTTTCCCTGCGTGAGAGGTGTACAAGGTTCCTGCTCTGGCACAAAACTTGAGGAGTTTCAGGAAGTTGTATTGTTTCTTGTAAGGTAACAGGATAGTAGAGGAAAGTGAGGCGTAAGGGGTATGTGCATGTATCTATATGTGTGCAGGCCTGTCTGTGTGTGTGTGTATATATATATATATGGAAAAATCTGTCTTATGTGCTTGATGTCTAGTATTGAAGTCTAGTATTTTAAATAAGTCCTGTTTCTGTATATTTACTCAGGATGAGAATTTTTCTGTAGAAGTGGTTGTAAGAAACTTTAACGAGCTGGTCTTTGGTGCTGGCTAGGGTGTTGATCTGTCAGTTTAGTTACACATGGATGTATGCGCTTCCTTGCGTTGAGTCACTGAGCCTCGCTGGGTTCAGTGTAGGAATCTTGCGGGCCTTTTCTCTCAGTCGGTTGAAGGATTGGTGTTAAACTCAAGAGATGATGTGGTGTTATTGCAACAACAGTAAATGTTTTTATGACATGTAAAATCAAATGACGTTAATGGTATCAGATAATACTAAAACATGTTTTTGTTATTTTAAAACAGGTTTGGTTCTTTTGAAATTTTTAAACCTACTGATGAATACACAGGACGCAAGGGTCCCAGTGTTAACCGAAATGATATTCGAATACAGATGCTTGATTATGTGATCAGCACTTTCTATCCAGAAATCCAGGAGGCTTATTCAGACAACAGTATTCAGAGGAATGCTGCTTTCTTCAAAGAGGTAAGAAAGATCAGATTATCTTCATAAATCCATAGTGGTCATCCTTTGGAACTTTGTCTGCAAGCAGAGACGACTGGAGTCAGTTAATACCTTGTATCATCCAATTGCCTGAACTGTTCTTTGAAGAAAACACTCTTAATAGAACTGCTTATCGATGAAAGCAATGTTGATAATGATCAAACCAATGATAAGCAGTTTAACCTTTTTAATAGTAAATCATGATTTCTCTGCTCTGGGAGAACTTCCCAAGGCTTGTCTCCATTTGCTGAGAGTGTCTTAGACTGCGAGGGGGAATTCTGGTCCTGACTGTTGGATGATGAGTTGACGGTACAGAGACATCACTTGCAAGTCATCATATTGTAAAGTACTGAGAATGTGGAGTCACTTCCTTGTCTCTCATTTTCCAAATTACAAACAGGAGTGTTGGCTGCAAATCCCTTTAACTTCAGGCTTTAGAATTGAAATGTTTAAAGGCAGTCAAGCACTGCGAGGGCTTGCCTGAGGAAGTTGCAAAACTTCCAACTTTGCGAATGGTAAGATCAGGTAATATAAGTGTGTCTTAGATGTGGCGTAGTATCAGGTCATTCTGCAGTGGCCCAGAGGAGAGGCTGGATGCTTTCTCAGAGACCCTTTTTCAGTTATTGTATAAATTTAGACCTTAACAATTACTGGAGATCCATACTAAAAATTGGAAATACAACTTTAGTAAATGTAGAATTGCTGTATTTCTCTTTGAAGTAAAACGTAGCTTAATTAATTGGTATCTACACTTTATCTCCTGAAGTTACCGTTTGCCTCACTGTTGATATTGTGTTATTATTCTTGACATTGAATTTCTATTACTATATTCCTTTGTCTCAGTGAGCAAAGAAAGAATTTGGGGTAAGGGAATAAGATGCTTCTCTTCATGTTTTAGTGATTAATATGTAGCAACGCTACCCTTGCAGAAGGGATCCAGTCTGAAGTTACTGGAGAACTATAATAAAGGCTCCGATTTGGATCACCTGAAGTTCAAATAATGTTACAACCCAGCTAAGAGTGTTGTAACTAGCCAGTGAACAGAATAATTAAAAAATATCACAGTCTAATACACTTGACTAGCCTGCCTAAAAGAAGTTGTGGTGCTTTGAAATGTGAAATGATATGGTAGGGACTGAGGGAGAGGCTGCAAGCAACGATGCATGTTCATGACAGACCAATAACAGGTCAAAAGGCAGGCTTAAAATCTGACATTCTCTAAATTTTGTGGATTTTCAATTTGTGGGGTTTTTTTGGTTTTGTTTTGTGGGAAGGTTTTTTGTGTGGGTTGTTGGGGTGGTTTGTTTTTGCTTTAACACAGCCTGTGCATACTTGCAGTGGTTCCTCAAAAGCAAGCTGCGGCTTTGGCCCAGCATGGGGTGCCGGAGAGTTTAACTTCAGGGGACAGGCCGCCTGTGTTTGAGTGGTTGGAGCTGATGAGAACTGCGGCTTGTCACCCACCGTCCGCATGTCCAGCTCTGTACTTGATGGCATGATTACTTTCTGATGGCAGAAAAGTGATGGGACTTGGGGATCTTTGCAGATGTGTATGTGTGTGTGCCCAGTTCTGCCTCTTTCTGCTTTTGGCTGCTTTTCCTAGCCCAGTTACTACTGATTTCCTCCCCCCTATCCTGGCATCCTTTCCTTATTGCTCCCATCTCCATTCTTTTTGTTAGTTTGCTGTGCTCCTCCATGCCTGTGCCTGTCTGCGCTCCATGCCTGTGCTGGCATTGTTGCCTCTTCATGTGTGCTCTCCTCCTTAGTGGAGACTTTCCATACCTTTTCCACCTGAAAAGCACCCCAGCCTATTACCTAATTCGACAAACACGACCATCTTTTTTTTAATAGTGGGGAGGTGCTGTAAGTTCAACTCTGATGTGTTTTATCTTTCTTTTTGCACTGTGGAAGAAATGGAGGAAAAATGTACAAGTGATTGCATTTGACAGCACTGTCTAGAAAGCAAACACCATTATCTGTACTTCTCAACTAATTTGTAGGAGTTGTTTAAATTTAAGCGAGCATGTCCTTGAGATAGTGCTGTTATTTATATATTCACCATACTTGTTTTCTAGTATGGTTAGCAGGAGAAAAATGTGATCTGAAAGAATGAAGGTCATCCTGAGTGCAAAGCCATCTCTTTCTAATCAATATACCCATCTTTGAGTAGCATGCAAGCTTTAATTGCTTTCAGGTGTTCTTATTAGCAGGATTTCTTTTTTTACCAGAGCACTGGCAGTGTGTGATGTGTTCCTACAAAGACATCCAGCAGTCATGAATTGCCTTACTGCTGGAGTGCTTTCATCCCAACCCTAAGGGCCAGGATTTTTCTGTTTTACCATCTTCCTGGCACAGAGCCACTGTGCAGGGTGTGTCTCCCTTACTGGTTTATGATGTGCCAGTAATCAGTTTGGGACATGTGTAGCTGGCTGCCCGCTGCCCCGTGAAGCAGCAGCATTCAGGAAAAACGGGTAAAGTACCTACCACGAGGATATTGTAGAAAGTAGAAGCATGGGATCTCAAGGTGAACCAAAATCTTCTGTTCCAAGCATCATTTATGGTTTTCACTACCTGTCAGATCATCCCAGGGCATGATTTTTCTAATTTTTCTTCCTTACCTGTCTGCACATGTTTAAAAAAAGAAAAATGGAAAAACTCCGGGTTTGAAGACAGAGGGATAAAACTAATGTTTCCTCTGTTAACTGGATCGTTTTTTTAAACCTTAATAAAGTATGCTTACACTGCAGCCTGGAGAGAATAGTTGCTTTAAATTTCTGTACATTGATAGCTCTTTGGGAAGATGAGTGATTTTTAGCTATGAAAATAGTTTGATTTAAAAGTTTTAGCTGATGGCTACATAAAATTTTTATTTACAGCAATTCAGTAAAGTATTTAGAAATACCTAGGTTCCTTTAAAAGCTAGGTTGGCTTCCTGAGTTTTTAGATTTCATAGGGAATATCTAGTTGTAGTTGACAGGTGGGCTAATTTAATTAAATAACTAGAACTATTCTACAACATTCCACTATTTATTTGAAGAATGGAACACATGCAGTGATTGCAGTCAAGGATTCCGTAACAATAACTCTCAGTTAAGCAACAGAAAAATTCTGGTGAAACATGCATTCAGTGAAGAATTGCATTTAAATAAAATTATCATTCTTGGCATATTTTTACTTAACCTTGTAGCTTTTTTCCACTCTCAGCGAATTGCAAGAAGTGCTTATCAGTGCTAAAATTTGTTACCAGGGAATAATTTTTTTTGTGTAAACCACTTGCCTTCCTATAAATCACTCCTACATACCAGGTAAACCAAAAGACTAACTTCACATTGGGCTCTGTTGCATATAGTTCATTCTGTTTCTCAGACTTTGCTTATGTTTTCTCCTGCTTGTAGTTAAAGGGTTTTTTTAATTAGTAGTAAGCAAAAGAATATATTTGTATAATGACTAGAATAGTGCATGTCTGGTGTCAAACAGTTTACCTTATTTCAGGTTCTGTCTCCAGTACGTTTTAGAGCTGCCCAGTTGACTTGCAAGTCAAGCATGGAAGGAAAGAAGAGGAGGCAAACAGAAATGGGAGACTGAGAAACAGGGCAGTTGCTAACAGGAGGAGAGAGGCAAGCTGTCCTTAAGATACTTGTGTGTATGGCACACTGCCAGAATCTGCTGCCATTGGAGCTGTAGAAACATCAGTTCAGACTAGGAAACACTTGGAAATACACGAATGTATTGGAAATAACATTGTGTTGAAAAACGAAAAAAAAATATTTCTCTTTTAGATAACAAAACGGACAGCGAGATTGGTTGCTGAATGGCAGTGTGTTGGGTTTTGCCATGGTGTGCTGAACACAGATAACATGAGCATAGTTGGACTAACCATTGACTACGGCCCTTTTGGATTTATGGACAGGTCAGTGTGGCATCATTATTTGAAATGTGCGCATGTATTTGCAATGTAGAACAGTCCTGATGTTCACAATTGCTTTAATGTTTTAATTCTAAAGTAGATTTATGAACTCTCTTAATGGCAAAGTAGATTAAGTTAGTTCTACTTGTCGTGTAATTCTTCTTTCAACTTTTTTTTAACTGTATTCACAACATCTCTAAGTGTTAGATTCTTCTTAGAGCCTGTGGGGTTTCTCAGTGTTTGAGAGGGCAGGAAAACATCTAGTGAGGTAACTTTGGGAAAAGAATCAAGAAGGAGTGTTCGCTTTGGGATTTTTTTAGTTTCCTGGAGGAAACTGAAATAGTAAAAGTAATACTTCTTACGGTATTGGTGTCCAGATAACTAGAAGAATTGTAATTATTTCTTCATTTGTAGGTATGACCCTGAGCACATTTGCAATGGTTCTGATAATACAGGGCGCTATGCTTACAACAAGCAGCCAGAGATTTGCAAGTGGAACCTAGGGAAGCTTGCCGAAGCTCTAGTTCCAGAGCTGCCCTTGGAAATAAGTGAACTCATCCTGGAAGAAGAATATGACACAGAATTTGAGAAACATTATTTGCAGAAGATGAGGAAGAAACTAGGCCTAATCCAGCTGGAGTTAGAAGAAGATAGTAAGCTGGTGTCTGAGCTCCTTGAAACCATGCATCTCACAGGTTGGTGAAGAGCACAGAAGGTTCTTGTTTAATAGCCCATCAGTATCTATAATCAAACCAAGATATAGTTTATATCTTGACCTTACAAGAAAGCAGCCTTTTGCAACTACATTGTCACCCGAGAGAAGAACAAAAGACTGAAAAAATAATTACCTTGTGAGCTGTGGGGTAGTTGTTGCCTTGTACAGGGCTCCCCCCGTCTCACACTTGCACCCTCACTGAGGGAGCAGTTTGTTTGCCTTTCAGAGTGGTGACGTGTACTGCTTCAGGGGGAGTTAGGAAGGCTGTAGGGGACCTGTTTACCTGCTGATCTATTAGTTATGTTACTCATAGAATTTACTTTTTCAGGTGGAGACTTCACAAATATTTTCTACTTGCTGAGTTCATTCTCAGTAGATTTTGATCCTTCAAAATTGGAAGATTTCTTAGAAGAGCTTACAAGTCAGTGTGCTTCTGTGGAAGAACTGAAAGTTGCTTTCAAACCACAGATGGATCCAAGGTAATACTCTTCTTGACTTAAATGCTTTTGGCCCATGCTTTTAGTTTCATTATAACCATAATGAACTCTTCATGCTATGTAATATTTGACTAATTTTAAATCTGGAAATTTCACTGTTAAGTGGATGCATCATGATCTACAGCAGTGCAAATTCCTATGTGTTTTGTCACTGGTGAATGCTCAGCAGTGACTTGCTGCAGTTGGCTCTTGGGCTAAAGTTGTCTTGAGCTTTTGCTTGGTCTTTTTTTTTTTTAGTTTCTCCACTGTCTCTGCTGACTAAGGCAATGAGAGTGCCAGACAGTGAAGTGATACAGAAATATTTTACAGAAGAAAAGGATTTGAACAGTAATGCTACTGTCTTCTGCCAATGTACTGTCAGGAAATAATCACTTTCAGCCACTGGTGTTCTGAGCTAGGTACAACCTAAATGCACACTTTAGGCTCTGAGAACTGTGGGGTGCTGTCCATGTCCTATTTGATGGGCCACATTCAGCAGTCCAGCTACTCTAAGTGTGGAAAAATAGAAAGTTTTGTTCAACTGCTGCTTATGGCAATGATTGCAGCAGTTTTTCACTTTTTGGAGAAGTGGAAAACAGGGAATAGGTGTGATCCATTAATTTGCTTTTTTTTCCCCCTAGTATCTTCCCAGATGGCGGGGGCGGGCGGCGCTGGGAATTAGAGTGGGGGTATTTGGGGTATATTTTTTTCCTCTCTCTCTCTGCTCAATAAGTGTTCCATGAAGGTAACAAACCTACTAAAATTCTTCAGCTTTTTCTGTGTGTTGATATCGCAGTTAATCACTTGCAGAAAGCAGGGAGTTGAGAAAATGGACTGGTGTGAAACTTGTTCATACAAGTTTGGTGTTATGCCAAGGAGGTTCGCTGTAGGCATTTATCATTTTGGAGATATTATTGGTTATTTAAGTTTTTGTGATGATACACTAAAATGAAATGGAAGTAAATTAAGGTGGTGGATACTGCTTATTTAATTAAGTTCCAGGTTTCAGCTACTTTGAAATTGTAAGCAGATATCATGCAATATGAAGATAGCTGATGTGATAGACATGAGACAATTTTTTTTTTTAAACACTGCATTCGGGCTTAGAGGAAAATGAAAAGTAGCTGTAAATCATCATGATATGAATGTAAAGCTTTGGAGGGGAATAGCACTGTGTTAAAGTGAGTGCATAACTAATTTTTTTTTTTTATCACAGCACTTGGATATCACAGAGCTGGACATGTCAGATGTGTAAATCAGATTTGGATAGTACTTTATATAAACTTGGAAATCAAAGCACCTAGCTTATCTCTGCTCACTAAAAGTAGGAAAATATAATTGATATAGTGAGTTGTCTGTTTTGAGACCAGGGAATAACGTTTCTTTTCTCCTTTGCTTATAAATGCATTGACAGAAGGAAATAAAAATATTTCGTGTATTTTGATATGCTGCAAATTATACTCTTTGTTCTTTTTTTTCTTTTATTTTCTGCTGTAGTGCAGTTATTAATCCAGGAAAAATACAAGTTAGCTAGCATGGTATCGAAAAATAAGGTGAAACTATTGTACAGCACCAGCTAACAGAGTCAAATGTAAAAAGATACAATCCTAGCCAAACTCGCAGCAAAATAGCCTGGATATTGTTAGGAATTTATTACCACAAAGCAGTTCTCATTCTGTGATTTAGACTGGCTAACTAAAAAAAATTCAAATAAACAAACTGTTGTCTCATATGACTTAAATGAGGTATCTTTCCCGGTATCATTTGAGTATTTATTAGTACTGGTAAAATTAGTAGGTGTTAGATCCTTATTCTGCATGCTGTTACAGTATTAGTGTTAGGAAAATAAATTAAAAAACCACAAAACCTGTGGATTCTGTGTTATCTTGACACCTAAGTAAGGTCAAATTCCTTATCCCAAATCCATTTCAAAGTTCCAAGGGTGTTTTGTTGAGAATTGCACATCTGAATCCAACTGGTAAATCAGGAAATCTATTGTCTGCACTTTATGTACCACAGGAGTGTGAGTTAAACACACTGAAGAAGGGAGAAGGAACAGTAAAATTAGCATAATTTGTAATTAAAAAATTGTTCTGTTAATTACGAAGTACTGGTTTTTAACCACTCTAGTGATACCATAGGTTATTGTGAATGTTTTCATATCTACTTTATGGCTGCAAAAAGATGGTTCTTGACGGGAAGCTCAACTTTAATATCTAATGTGTTTGTTCCTTTTGTTCCCAGACAACTGTCAATGATGCTAATGTTGGCTCAGTCTAATCCTCAGCTGCTTGCATTAATTGGAACAAAAGCTAATATAAATAAAGAATTAGAACGCATTGAACAATTCTCTAAACTGCAGCAGTTGACAGCAGCTGATTTACTCAGCAGAAATAAAAGACACTGGAAGGAATGGCTGGAGAAATACAGGTAAGGTTTCTTAGTATTTGTAGCAGTGTATTTTATTTCTGCATTTTATTTGAGAATGGTGTGCCTATCTCACAATAGACACCCTGTCTCAAAGTATATAGATCAGGAGGGATGTGGGGGGCATGCAACTCAGAACATTAACTACTGCCAAGATCCATATCTGTGTTGCTGTGAAAGTTTAAGGGCATCTTTGTATTTTGTTTACTAGATTTTGGGGAGGGGTGGGGGTATAGAAATCACCTAGCATCAAATCTAGTATTAAAAGTGCTTCAAGAATGTTGATGTTGATTCTAGGAGAGGCTAATTGCAGTTTTGAGCTTCTCAGTGCTCAGTAACTACAATTGACTGACCTCTAAGTGTTTTATCCTTTTAAATTATTGTTTTTTCTGGAAGAAAAATATATGTGTTAATATAGAAAGCAAGTAGAAGTATTCATAATCAAAGAGTAACTGTAGAAGAAGTCATGCCCAGGAAAAAAAAACATCCAGACTATTCTAATAGGCATAACTTAAAAGCCTAAAAACTTGGTGTTAGCAGGAGATTTTTTTTGTAAGGAAAACCCTTTAGCAGAGCATTAGTTGTTTCTGCTGTGTGGATTAGGTCAGGACTCCTTTCCTCACCTGGCTGGCTGTGATCTTGTTCTCCAGTGGGGCTGAGAGTTTTAGCAAGTATTCCGGCTAAAAGGTAGATCAAACTGCCTCAGCTGTATTGCATCCCTTTTATCGCAACATCAAAAGCTTGTACCAATAAACAAGCGTAGAAATACTTGAAAGGCAAGATCTGAATGTGATGGTGTTTGCAGAGCAATGCAGAACAGACAGTGCATCATTATCTCAGTCTGACTTTTCAGCGAATATGCAAGGTGTGCCACTCCTGGCCTTGCCAGGACCTGCTGACGGTCTGTAATGCTGCTTCTCAATGAAGTGGCGTTTTGTAGTCTGTTGTCGTGCTGCATGTTAGAAACTTGAGAGGGTTATAAGTGATGTAATATTTATTAAGAACTGCAAACTAAGGATCTCGGGACAAGGAAACGTGTCAACTTTTACATATGATTCTTGATCCAAACCAGTTGTTCTTACTTGCTTAATTTCAGAGTCCGTTTGCAAAAAGAAATAGAAAGCGTAAGTGATGCTGATGCCTGGAACACCGATCGTGTGAAGGTTATGAGTTCAAACAACCCAAAATACATCTTGAGAAACTATATTGCCCAGAATGCCATAGAAGCAGCTGAAAATGGGGATTTCTCAGAGGTATGCTATTACTGCTTAACATCTCTCTGGGTTTGTGTGGATGTGTAGTGGTGCTGTTGATGACTGACATTTTGCTAGGCAAGATTCATTCTGTTGTCTCAGGCAGTAAGGGGATCGGGAATTTACTGTTCAGGAGGTCTGTGTTATTTTTGAGGGAGCTGTATTAATGACTGCAGAGCAAAGAAAGGAATTGAAAATCTGAATCTGAACTTCACCAGCTTTTGTAGGCTGATCCCAGGACAAGACACTTACCTCTGCTTTTACTGTCTTCAGAATGGTGTTCATCTTGGGAGGCAGTTGGGGGTTAATTTATATTTGTTCCTTGCTGTGTGAAGTGTTATCTTTTAAAACTCACGTTTTTCACCTGTGGAATTCGGCATGTTGATTGTTACATGCAGAATATGGGAAAACTAATTCATTTTGAGAAACGACATAAAAACTTGTATTTGATACTTGCATTTAAAGTTATTTGAGCTTGAGTTCCATACAGATGCAAACCCAGCCAGTTATGATTTTACAGTTTTCAGCTTATTTGATACGCATACTGTTCATCTATTAAATATTTGGCTTGTCTGGGGTTCATGTATTAAATGCAATATATTGAATCATTATGTGGTGTGAGGTTCTTCTCTACATCATTTTGCCTTTCATTTTTAAATTCTCATAACCAAGCTATGTTTTCTCTCTAGGTAAGAAATGTACTGAAACTCTTGGAGAATCCATTCCAAGAAGCAGAAAGTTTCAGGGAGGTAAAGGAAGATGCAGAAGAGGAGGGAGCAACTGCTACAGGAGCTGCTTGTGCTCAGGAGACCAGAAGCAGACTACCATATTGCAGTAAACCTCCACTGTGGGCGTCAGAGCTCTGTGTTACATGATCTTCATAACTGCCTTGTTTTGTTTTTTGCTGTAAACTGAAGACTCTTACCCTCCTTCAGCAGTGAAGAATTCAGCAAGGCAAACCTCAAAGTGCTATTAAGTTATTGAAACAACCCTACATTTGGATGCATCTGCAACAGTCTTCAGCTGTGCTTAATTTGAAGCAATTGTGGGTCACTGGAACAAACCAATGACAACCGACAGCCTGTATACGTCAGTAATTTCAATGTTTTGAGACTGAAAGTCTTTCCTTTATTCATACCGCATTGCAAGTAGAAAGCAATATTTTATGTTGAGGCAGGCTGAATTTTGAATATCCAAATGGAGTTGTTGTTATGTGAAGACAAAAATACCAAGTCAGGAATCTGATCTGTTTTTGTCTGATGTCTTAACTAATAGTACTTCTAACATTTATTTGCTGCTTTCTCTTTGCAGAGACTTCTAGTCCTCTTTAATGGAGGAATAGATTCCGTGTTGCTTTTGTTTGAAGCTATGTTTCATTTAATTAAGTAGTTCATTTCTTGTGAACCTTCAGATTGATATTTAATCATTATCTTATTTTCAGAGAATTTGTGCAGGCTAGGGTTTGGGGGGAGCAATTGAAGTTATTTTTTTTTTTTTTTAAATACATTAAGAGCAGAATTAAGGGAGACTATATACATTTGCACTGGAAAATCTTGGTGGTAAAGTTTATTCAGGTTCAGTATGTTTGCATACAACACATGTAAATATTTACTAAAAATCATGGGTGCAGTTTGTAAGCCAATTGACTTGAGCAAGGTCAGTTAGCCAAATTAGTGTGAACCTTAAACTACCCCAGTACTCAAATCCAGGTTCGTTACCTACCTACTTGTGTGCTCTTAACAGAGTCTCCTTGTAGGAGAACCGTGGAGGTGGGGTACCTCTTTGTTCATGCTGGTCAGTGGGACCCTTCCATTCCCACTTTGTCTTCACCGTTTAGTTTGTTTCCACGATCTTTGAAAATCTTTATGCTGAAAGGTGCCGTTCTGGAACCTGCTATTTGAGCTTGTGTAAAAGACTACAGAGGATATGGGAGAGGGATGAGAGCCGACTTGCTTGCAAGTTACTTATTGATAACATTTCAGTTGACGTTTCAGGGGAAAGTTGGTTGCCATTATTGCCACATCAGCAAAACCAAGTTGTTCCATAGTTAGTTATTACTTAGCTTTCTGAACTTCTTTGTAAAGGACTCTTATTACTGGTTCAGATACCTGAAATCTTGGGAAAAGTTTGGTTTAATAGAAAGGTTTCTCTTTTCCAAAGAGACCACCGTCTTACACTGTGAATTTAAGTGTACTCTAGTAAATTCTTCCTCCAGCCCTGTGCAAGCTTGGTATTAGCTCAGGTTGAATTGTGCTCTTTAAAGTCTTCCTCAAAATATGAGCTATCAAAAAACAGGGAGAACAGTTGGGCTGCTGCTTATCCATCTGTGCTAATAATCAATTTGTCCTCCTTGCTGCCACAGCAAAGAGGTGATGCTTGAAATGTAAACATTCATTCTGTCTTGCCTTCGACCTGGAGAAACTGGTACCAAATAGCGATGCGTGACAAACTAGAATCTCTGACAAACACAGCACTTTCTGTGACATTTTGGAGTCCTTACAGAAAAGGACAAACCTGAAGGTGTATTTACCTAGTCCATGGAAGAATGGTGTAGTTGAAGGAGGAAGTACCTTGAAGAAGTGGGCAACAAGTAATGCTAGCCAGTGCAGCTGGTCGTCTCCTAGAAGTAATCCATTTTTGTAGGAGTCTGAGACTTTTATTGGGGATTATCCTTCCTCTGAACTTGGAGGTACTGGAACCAAACCATTTACTGGAAACTTTAACAGAAAGTCAATGCTGGGGAAAAAGGACTGCACCAGGGAAGGGAAGCGTGCTGGCAATTTGAAAGACACTTCAAGCATCCACCTGACAAATTTGCAGAACCAGTGGTCTCTTATGGTCTGCCTGGTCCAGAAGGGAGTCACGGGGGGGAAGTTGCTCCAAGCTCATCCACGTAACTCTGTGCTGATTTTGTTTCTCAGTTTTTATCTTTCCTTTTGAGAGGCAGAGGGGAACAGTGTTTTGGAGGAGTTCTGCCCAAGCTTTTGGCTTAACAGAATGGTCTAAAAAGTAATGATTTTACACTGTACCTAAGGATCAAGTCTTTTTAACAGCATTCTGATGTTAATTTGGGGGGTTTGAATAGATCTCCATTAATAATGGTACGGAGAAGGAGAAAGACACTATAACCGTGTGTTTGGACATAGGAGAATTTGAATTAACTACCAAATTATTTTGCATATAAAGATATAAATTATTTTGCACCTATAATGCCAAAATCATGGAGAGAGCGAGCTACTTTGAAACAGTTTGCTAGAAATTTTGTCCTTAAAAAGGGAAATTGAATGTAGTGAAGACTGAAAATACGGTGGTGTTCCCAGCTAAATACATTCTTTGCTCACGTATAGATCAAGTGCACGGGGTCTAGAAAGCTTGAAATGGTGAATGCAGACCCTTGGTGTGGCTGCTTTGGTGTGCCACTCGGTAAAAGTTGTATTTGTAACAGGTGCAGTATGTTCACCGAAGGGTATTCACTTAGCCTAACTGCGCTGACATTCAACTGCTCGATTTCTCACTGCATGCAATAATATCAATGCTTTGTATTTGAAGAAGCGTTATGATCCGGAGCCAAGTGAAATGTTTGTGCTCTTCCAGCACTCTCATTTCAAGAGGCGAGTAGTAGTTTCAGCTCTGAGAATAGTGAGTTTCATCTGTTCTTGTTCCCGGAGCAGTGTGGAAGCAGGAGGTTGTTCAGGACAATTAAACCGAATTTTGTCCAGGTAAGAACTTTCTTTCTTAGCTCAGTTCTTCAGGGAGAAGGGAATACAGCTTATAACATTTGGGGGTCTAAATACTTGAATCATAAATTGCTTCTTGATTTTTTACAGCTTGTATTTGCAATAGGTAAACCTGAAAATAGTATTTCTTACTGGTCAAATATTTTGCTTGTATAAAAGCCATGGACTTGTGCTCAAAATGAATTGGTGACTCTTCACATCAGCAGCTTTCTGTGGCAACACTTGATGAGGCTCAGTCTGTGCCTATGCAATCTGATCTACCCTTGCATAAAAGCAAGTGGTACCCAGATTACAAAACTGAAACGAGAAGCTCTTGGAGACTTAGTCTCATGTGGCAGTAGGACTCCTCTCATGACTTCATCAGATTTCACCATAACTAATTGTTATATGTTAACAGCTGCTGAATGTTTTACTGTCGGCTCTCACTTTGGAATGTTTTGTGTGTTGTCTTTTGGGTTTTGATGTTGGGGTTTTTTTCCCTCAAACAAGTGCTACTGCTTTCTTTGATTCTTTTATTTTAAAAAATAAAAAATGCAATTTTAAGATTCTTGTTCGTGCCTATTTCCTGAAAGAGTTTGACTGTTAACCGTACTGTTCACAGACTTCACTTCTTTAGAAGTATTCGTTCTGTGTTAACATCGGATGGCCAGGTCGTATCACAGAAACCTCACTTTGTATTTTTGCAGTGTTTCCTGAGGAGTGAGTTATGACGTGTACGGTCTCCTGCCTCGCCAGCGATGTTAGTAGTATGCTTGGAGCAAGGTAAGGACCCTCACCGTTTTCAAAGAGAAACCTCTTAGTTACTTGGCCATAAGACCTATGCTGACACCTCTTTTATTCTTCCTTACATCACTGGAATTAAACCCACCACCTGATGTCAACAGATACAGGTTGCGATTTTAAATTCTGCTCATAGAAATAGGCCTTTGGGTAAAAAGTGAAGATGCATTTTGTTTAAGTTTGTTTAAACTGGATTGAGTAGATTATGCAGGTTTTTTTTTTTTCCCCCCAAGATCTCAGTGATACCCTAGAGAAGGGGACTCTTCAGAGTGGAGAACATTTAGTTTAGAGCAAGTTGGATGAGATGGATGCCCTGGCACATGAGGAAGTAGTGTATCAGGATCAAGCAGTCTGTAAATCGGCTCTGCAGCCTCCTCTTGCTCCTACAGCCTGAGTACAGGGGACTTCTCTGTGAGCTGCGAGGGCCCAGAGGCTCAGGGAGCAATTCAGTGGTGAGCATCACTCTCTGCTTACTCCACAGCTACTTACTGGCAGAGCCAAGGGGTTTACATAGTCCCACACACTTGGCTTTAAACCAAAACCTCATTAATGTCACATCAGCTGTTTTAGCAGATGGCTTGGGTTGTTTAGGGCCTCCTTGAGCAAACTTAGGCTGCCTTCATGGTGGTGGGGAGGGAGCAGAGAAAGGAGAAATGTGGGTTTGAAGGGGAGGAATATTTGCACAGGCGGCCAGATGAACGATGGTGTGTACTTGTTCTGAGCCTCGGTGGTGGTGTAGTCAAACACTGGTTCTGGGCAGAGTAGCACAGGCGATGTGTGGCGTGCGTAGGAGAGGCAGAGAGAACCGAGTTCTTCAGCCTCAGGAGGAGGCTGAGGAGAAATGCCTTGCTGTCTACAGCAGCTACTGGGAGAGTGTAGAGAAGGTAGAGGCAGACTCTTCTCAAGGGAGCACGGTAACAGGATGTGAAGCAATGCACAGAGTTGCAACATGGGAAACTTGAGTAGGTAGGAGGATATTTTTTTTTTCCACCATAAGGACAGCCAGACTTTGAAACAAGTTGCCCAGAGGTGGTAGCATTTCAGTCCTTGGTGATCCTCAAAATGTCACTCGAGCAGGCTGCTCGGGGCCTTGTCCAGTTGGACCCGTGTTAAGCAGGGATCGGACTAGGTGACTTCCAGAGATCCTGGCCAACGTGCGTTACTCTGTGAGTGTTCTGGGGCTGCCTGGCTTAGTGCAGTTCAGTGCAGGGGTTCTTCCCTTTTGGAAGATCTCACCTGGGGACATGGGCAGCAGCTGATTGCCCTCTGGGGCTTTTAATGATACAGCAGGTTCAGAGGAGGTTGTTACCTGGAGTTCTGCATGGCTTTTCATCTGTCCTCTGCTTGGCCACCCCGAT